ATGGGCATGGATGATTCTGGATCAACAAGCTTTCCCATTCTGCAGAGATCAAAACGGCACAACAAAGTTTCGTCAGTGATTTCACTTACCTGAGGCAGTTTGAGCATGTGGGAAACTTCAGGTTGTTCCATTTGAAAATGGTGAGATCTCTGCATCTGATATCGATACAGAACCACTGCTAAGCTGATCTGCCAAAGACTGGAGCTGCGTTTCTCTAAAACATCATGCAAACCCTGAAGAGATTTCCCCATGTTTAGCACGCTCCAGCGGCTCCATGGGCCGCATTCCGGACTGTACCACAGGCTTTTTGGATCCTGTGTGACCAATGTGAAAAACAACTTCTGCCGTCCGGAAACTGTTTGGAGATCACCTTCTGCCAATCCAAAACGTTTGGCACGTCCACCCATGAGAGTGGCCTGTTTGACAAGTTCGCTCTCGCTGGAACACATGACTTCAAGCAAATCCAGTTTGGGAAGTTTGAGCATTTTCGTAGAATACTTGTCAACAACTTGATCCAGTTCCCTTCTGAAAGACATTGATCAACCGTTGGATACGACGATGAAAACTCATGTTGTTTGGATCATACGAAAAGTCAAAGTCAGTATCCAGTGTCGTGTTTAAATGGGCTTCTTCTGTGAACACGCTGTGCCTCAGTCGCTCGGCCTCAGATCTACTCAGTTGAGCTATGCCTCCGTCTTCACTTGCATCTTGCGCAGGTGGTCCAAGACTTCCTGCATCATGAACTCGATCTGACCCACACGGTGAAAGAGGCTCTGGTTGCTCTGGCGTAGATCCAGCATTTCTTCCTGCACAAAGGCGACGTTCATCACGGACTCCGTCCCATCCACAGTTTGAAGTTCCTCCCACACATCTTGAGGAACTGGAGGTGGCCCCTTGGTGTCCTTGATGTCTTCCTTGGTGGTCGGATACCCCTTTGACTTCTTCTGCTCGGCCTGAAGTCGCAGCCGAATGTAGTGGATGTACATCATGTGTTCTGGCTTCTCGCTGTTCTCGAACCGGTTCAAAATGAACTCGGTCCACTGCTGATCTTCGAAGGCCTTGGCAAACGTCTGGCCCTTCTTCGATTCCCCGAAGACAATCTTCTCCGAAGCCAGCTCTTCCAGGGTCATGCTGGACACCACATCGCGAGACCCTTGCGCTTTCTGAGTCTTGTTGAAGTCCTTGAACTGCTGCGCCAACGATGGCATCTGGGCGATAGGTTGAGGCATGTTCAACGATGGGACTTTGATCCGAGGCTGCTGTACATTTCTGATCGGTGCGGCAATTCTGTTCAGAAAGATTGACTACTGCTAATGGCTGACCTGAGACCTGTGACTCTACGGAAAAACTCAAAGGACAATGAGAGGGATTTTCAGACTGTCTTGACACGTTGGGCTCACTCTCCCTAAGGCTTCCCTGAGGTTCTGCCACATTTGTTCTGCTACCGTCGGACAGTGCAGTCTGAGCTACGCATGAGGCCTCATCATGAATGGAACCTGCAACATCACTATCCCACAGTTGGTTCAAATCCATTAGAAAGAGATTCTTGGTTGATCTTTCCATCACCAGGTTTCTTTGTAAGGCCTTGCTCCACATGGTTCCTTCTTCGGTATCAATCACAGCTTTGATTTGTTTGAGAAAAGTACTGGACAGCAAAAACGGTGTTGGGCCTGGCACTACTGCAATACGGAACCATCCCTGTTGGAGTGGGAGCATCAATGCATGTTTGCTCGTGAGTGTTTGATGATTTCCAAAGCGAAACACTAATTGGCAAGGCGTTCTGTGGGCCTTTGCCCTGACATGGTCTGGTAGACCTTGCAAAAGATCTGTCACCTGTTGGCTTCCGATTACCGTTTGAGAGGCACCAAGGTCAACAATGCCATTCGTTCCTGATGATGCAAAATGGATGTCAACATTTCCTGGGCTGGAGGCCATGTGATCTGAAACATCATGCATGTGAGACAATGGCAGCGGGGAATTCTTCAGGCATGTCGGCTTCACTGCGTCTCTGGCATCACGGATGACAAGCTCATTCCTGAGAGCAGTGCGCATTTTGTGAACCACATCTTGCACTGTTACCCGATTAATCCCATTTATCTTTATGTCCCCGTTACAAATTACCCCAAAACATGCTTCTGATTCGGACGACAAAGGCTCGTTCATATGCATCTCAGGCAAATGGACAATCTCGGATGGCACATCATTCTCAATCACGGCAACGGAAATTGGCACGGATGCTGCATCACTTGGGGCAGTACTGGAAGCGGCGGATGATCGAAGGCTGCATTCAGCCTTCCAGTGGCCATTCTTTCCACAGAGCCGGCAATTTGAATTGGCAATTCGTTGGGCCAAGGTCTTTCCTTTGCCCCCAGATTTTCCTGCACCCTTTTTTCCAAACCCTTTTGAACCCTTCTTTACAGGCCAAAGCCCTCGGAACTTCACCCTCTCGGTCAGGCGCCTTCTGGCATCTTGGTATGAGGAGAAGTAGGTGGCCAAATCAGAGTCATTCTGTACTGCTTCTGTGACTGCTTCTTCAAATTGTACGATCAACGCAGCATCTTCATCATTTTCACTCATCAATTGAGCCAGAGTATCTTCATCCAGCGGGTCATCGGAAACCCAAAACGTCTCATGTTCTTCACCATCATCATCGACTTCATCCACATTGAAAGCCAGATGATCATACGTTTTCATGTTCTTCTCACGTTTGACACCTGTGTAATCTTGAAAAAATGCTGACCCCAACATTCTGATTGCAGCCACAACCTTGGACCATTCCAGTTTCTTACCTGGAGTTTCAGCACCTGATTCAACCAACACTCTCTTTTTGTCCTCAGCAGAAAGTCGGCTTCCTCGCAACAAGACGTAGGCTTGCACCTGGTCGAGCGATATCTCCTTGGCAAGGAGTTTTGTCCAGATGACGTCAACACGAGCAATGAAGCTGTCACCTGACTCATCGGCTTTCTGTTGACTCCTAAAGAGAGCCTTTTCCACAAGCTCAAAATGATGTTCCAAAGGCACTTGCCCCCATGTTCCACCTACTAGTTCTACCAGTTTCTGAACACCCTTGCGGTCATTCACCAGTAAGTCCTTTTGATGGAGGTGTAATTTCTGGTATGCGGAGCCCTTGGTACTGAGAATCAACCTCGTGATCAGTTCGATGATCTTGTTCTGCGGCCATGCTTCACGGAGAAGCGTCACCTTTGAGGACCAAATGTCCACATTGTCAGTAGCTGGGTCAAATGAAGGTACAAGCATCGCCAACTGATTCGGGACACCACCTGCCCCATCAGATGTAGAGGTTTGTCCTCCAGCAGATTCCATCTAGCGTAGCAACTTGAATTCGGTAGCCGGGCCAAAACTGATCGCCACGGCTCCGCTACCAATGTCGAACAGACAATTGGTAGCTGGCCTTTCCAAACCTGGAACCCTGTTCCCCAATCTGCGGATTGTTTTCCTGCGAAGCCACAAACCTGCTGTCAGCTGACACACCCAGTCACCACCGTGGAGACCTTCTGCTAAGCGTCACTGATAGCGCTATTGCTCAAGCACGCCCTCCCTCCTGCAAAGGGCCTTGAACCCTCATTCCCCTGAGGCTGCGGATGCACAGAGGTGAAGATTGGACCCACCTGGAAAGAAAGGAGCACATGTGAACAGGCAGTTATGGCTTTCACAGTATATGTATATGTATATGTATTTGTATATTGTATATTGTATATTGTATATTGTATATTGTATATTGTATATTGTATATTGTATATTGTATATGTATATGCATATGCATATGCATATGTATATGTATATGTATATATGTATATATATATATATTATAGCTGTATGGCGATAGGTGGTATTTGTCATGCTGACTTGTAGACTCTGTAGACTTTAGCTGTAGGCGAAGGCAGTGCAGGCTGGCATCTCAATCGACATGGCAGTGGTGCAGTGGCGTCAATAGATGTTCCATTCCAAGAAACACCAGCAGCCAAGTCAAGACAAGGTGCATCAAGGTTCTTAATGCTCACTTTTGTCGATGTTTGCAGATCAAACACATACACACACACACATATTTACATATTGTTATTGTTGTACATGATTATTACTACTACTACTATGAGTAGTATTATCATCATTATTATTATCATTATTAGTATTATTTATTACTATTGTTATCATTATCATCATCATCATCATCATCGTCATTATTGTGATTTATGAATTTCATTAACTTTTTTGCCTAGTCAAGGCCCTGGCGCCTCGCGTGCGTGTGGCTCGTCAGGGCTGGGCTGAGGCCACGCCAAAAACACATTTCAGTCTGCCTTCAAGACCTACCTGCCCGCGTAGTTGCTGTAGTTACATCAAATACCTGGCGTACCATTTACTTCATGTACCATACCTTGTCTTGGCATGTTACAAAAATGAGTAAACAATAGTAACACACATACAATCGTACCTATGGTGTAAGGCGAATCGATTTGGTTCACCAAGTGGAGTGTTTGCTTTGTGTCCTGGACCTTTCGAAGGACTCACGAGTCATTGCGAGATTTTCACAGCCACTTGTCAATGAAGTCCAATACTTTTGACATCGTCTGACCAGGGTGCCAAGAAGAAGAAAGTTGGGCCGTGGACTTGGGCTCCACAACAGAAATCTTATTCATGAATGGAGTCCATGTTGTGTAGTTGCAATAGCAAGCGTGTTTCGGGCTTGACCACATGCGTTTTCCTTTATGGCAGGCGTGGCCGAACCAGCCAGAAACCGAGCAAAAATGACCTGTTCAAGCAGTTTTCAGCCACCCATAGTTTTGCACCTACAGTTCCTTTGTGTAAATTAACTGTTCTGAGGATTCAGTCCCATCCCTTTGCTGCATCTTACATATTTACCGGTGAGTTATCCATGTGTGTTTGAGGCACACACAGTGGCGAGGAGAGGGCACTCGGAAGAGTTTGTTCTTCATAAGATAAATGAAACCAAAATATGTTGCAAAGAGTTTGGGACTGTGGAAATGAGACTGAGACAGGGGTATGGAAATCCGATTTCTCCCGCAGCAATCAGCGGCTTTGGCCGCTTTGGTTCAGCTTTCACACCCTTGTATCAGGCCAGTGGTCTGTTGAATATTTGTCCCGGTATGCGCCTTTGGCTGTGTGCAGCTTGCCTCGCGCTTGCCGTTGCAGCAAGGAGAGACATAGCAATTTGTTCAATTTGTTGAAATTGTTGCATCAAGTGAGCTGCAACCGAGCTGGTCGCATGCAATTGATGCAAGATCTTCATGCAGGAGACTGGGCTCTGAGATAAAGGGGAGCCCACATACTCAAGGTCTCGAAGGTTCGGTAGTAGATGGTATCTTGCCAGCATACTCAAAGAGAAAGGGTGACTAAAGTACTGACCTGCTCAAGTCCTCATTGAATCAAGTCGCTCTTTAGCATCACTGAAGTCAGTAACATTCGCATAGATCAAAACAAGAACCCAACATTTGCGGACGCGAACGCTGTACGCAGCATAGACGCTTTTACCTGTGTCATCACAGATGCAGCAAGGTGCGGGATTTGAGCTCCAGACTTCACCAAGGTGAGTATGGTCGCTACCAGCTTGTCAAAGAGTTGGGTGCTGGAGCTTACGGGACCGTCTACATGGCCAAGGAACAAAATGGCAGGCCGAGCCACCGAGCTACCAGTGTCTCAAGCTGGCACTCGCTGATTCATTGATCTGCCATGATCTGCCATGATCTGCCCCTGTGCCCCGAATTTTGTGGGAGTTCCAGCCAGTTCAAGCTGGGTGTCAGGCAAGTTGTGGCCAAAGTCATCGACATCAGGACGGAAGAGCAAAAATTCTCCTTCCTCACCGAGCGTCGTGCATCTTGGCGCCAAAAGACATGAAGCGCTATCTTTGACGAGTCCTTTAAAGACATTTGCCTTGGCCTAAAATGTGCTTCAAGGGTTCCCGTCTGAAGCAACCAAAGACACCAAAGCAAAACGTGCCTCTGAGGTTTGGAAACACATGCAGCGCTGCCCGGGCTATCCTCATCCTAACGTGATCCAGTATTTTGAAGCGCTCCAGATGCCCAACAAAAGAGGTGGGGAAGAAGCAGATACCAGCATACCCAGTAGGACCTGCAAGTCCTGCGTTGCTGTTTTTAAAGTGCAGTCGAGCTTGAGTCCTCGATTATCAACATGAATTGGATTGAATTTGTATCTGGAATTACTAGCCTGATTCTGTTTGTTAACTCCCATCACTCGTCACAGTATTTTGCGGCGCAGGTGTGGTCATGATGGAGTTGGCAGGTGGTGGCAGCCTGTCAGAAACCCTCTACAATAAAGTCAGTGCTGAGAGTACACTTGGCGGTACGCGCACAGCGCTTGGAGACGTGCCTTGGTGTAGCGTCCCCTGTAACATGTTTGTCAACAATCTCAAAGTGGAAAACCCACCATTCTGATAGTGACTGATAGTTGTTTCTTGTGTGGCAGGAAGGGTGTTTCTCACTTCCTGTTAGCCTCTTGACATCTCTTGACCATTTGAGTGGTTTGTTTCTGAAGACCTAGTCACAACAGCCGGCCTTTGGAGGGAGCTTGAGTTTGGTTTGCAAAGGAAGGACTTCCTTCCCTTGTGACTTGATCTGTGAATGATGCATTTAGACTCCAGGGCGCCAACTCAAGCGATTTTCCAGCCCTGTGGTTGACATAGTTTGTTTCGAAAAGACATTGGAGAAGTCTTCGGGGATCACCGATGCAAGGCACTTCTGACGGATGAAGCTCTTGCCAAGAAACTCTTTGGCCAATTGGCTGCTGGCGCCCAGTGGCTTGGAAAATGCGGCGTGGTACACAAGGACCTCAAACCTGACAACGTGATGCTCACGAAGCCCTTCCTGGAAGGTGGATGGAACTGGATTGCATTTTATGGCAGTGGAGGATGAGGATTGAGCAGGTGTAGGTGTAGGTCTACCCAGATTTTCAAAAGGTGTGCGTTCCACTTCGAAGCAAGCGATAGAGCCCACATTTGGATACACAAAATTGTCTTGAAATGTACCCACAATGGAATACTTGACCTTTAGATTCAGCATCTCCACTCCATTCACAGCAGAAAAGCTGACTGATCGCAATTGTGTCTACCAATTTCGTGGAATTTGCATGGTTTGCACATTGTTTGTGCAGGTGGCATCATCAAAATCATTGACTTCGGTTTGGCCATGTTGACCAGTGACCAGAGAGGAGGACGGCGCAGATCACTGTGCTGTTTGGCTGTTTGTGATGCCATAAGCTGCATAAGCTGGTTGTCCGCTCTGAAAAAGCATTGAATTCACTGTTCCTTGGTGGGCTGTCAGATGCTTTCAGGACCGGTTGCAAACTTTTACTACAACTTACGCACAAATGCAGCTCCCAGCAACAAGAAAGGCGCTCGAACTTTCGACGACTTTGCCCTTGGCTTGATGTTGGCGGAGATCGGCACTGGTGTGCCGCCCTACTTCAACCCAGATTTTGACTACTATTCTCGCAAGCAAGGGAACTTGCAGAATGAAAAAGGTATTTTCTACATCTTGCAGCCAAAGAAAGTTTGTGAAAAGGGAGATGCTGAAATCAAGGTCCCAAAGAACGACCTTGCAGGTGGGAAGGTTTCTATCAAAACGGCAGTGAAGGAAGTGGTTGGTCGCTCGCTGTACTACCTGCAGAATGGACACCACTTTATCCACACCAGTGCTACGGAGCAAGGTATTGGCAACGTCCAACTCCTGAGACTCCGGTTGAGCCGTTTTTTTTTGACTTCTTCCCTCTGATCTGATAGTGATCTGTAGCTCTGGTGTTTTTTCCTTTTGATACGGAGAGTTGACTGGTGGTTGCATTTGGACTGGTGTCATTTTCCTCATATTGGAGAAGCGGCTAAAAGCCGTCCCAGGAAGAAATCGTGGCTCTACAACTCACCGTCAGCGATGTCTCTGTTGTACTCTTTGATGGCGGGCAGACAGGCCAGCGGTCAGGAGTATCAGTATATTGTGAGCAAGTTCAGGTTTCGCCCCAATATTGCCCGAGAGCTGGTTAAAACTGTTCGCTTTGTTGGATCCTGTCTGCCAAGCTACTTAGAGATTATTGTAGATCTACAGAAGAGTGGTTGTGTTCACATTTTTTTCCAGAGCATGACGATTTGCCAAGTTGCCATATGTTGCCATTTTGACAGGAAGACCGCATTGAACCTTCGACTTTGATGTCCACGGAGTGGCTTTCGGATGTGGAAAGCCCAGCTCCAAGCTCTCCAGTAGAGATGCCTCAGGAGATGGAGGCCCAGCACGCACTGGGTCAGCAATTGGGACCCAACATGAAATGTGGTCGGCTCAAAGTATTGACCTCTAATTTTGCAGAACCTAATATTAAACATGACCAAATTCATGGGTCCGATGGTACCCCCATAGCCAAATGGCACATTGTTTTGGCATGTTTTGTTGACCGACTGAGGCTGTCAGGTGTCAAAGTGGTAAGATAAATCAAGTTGTCGACCATTTGTGAGACCATTTGCCATCGAGTCATATCGAGTCGACAGTTTCCAAAAGTTGCCATCGAGTCGCGCTTGCCTTGAGACCTTTGCCCCGCCTTCGCCTGCAATCTCTGAAGATGTCCAGTTCTCCCCGCCAGAGCCACCACTAGAGGAGGATCTTCCAGAGGCCGGGCACAATTGCTGTTTGTGAGGAAGATGATAGGCTTGAAATCCAGGGAGATGAGTCGTACTTGAAACTTCATGAAACAAGGCAAAAAAAACTATTTTGTTTTTAATGCAATGATTGGATTCTCTGCAGTTCGTCGTCCCTAGATGCCTTAGGCTTTTCAATTTCCATTTTTTGCGTAAATATATCAGCTTTATTGGGAGTGTATCGCTGCATGCTGCTGCCGGAGTGCAAGTGCTGTGGATGGCCAGCTGCAGTATTTGCAATTTTTGTACATACTTCGTGGTTCGTAGGAAACAAGACAGTCTGCCACATGAAAGGAGGAAGAGGAAGTGGAAGTAGAGAAGGAGGAGGCTCCAAAGTTGAACATGTGCAAAAATCCATATAAGGACCGTCTGGGATGATGTCAGTCTTTTTGTCTACAACAGAACTGTTTCAAGATTCCTGCAAAGAGTAGGAAAATTGGGTTAGTTTGCCTCAAGCCACTCGGTACGTCGCAGGAACGTGGCCCAGCTTCCCTATGCAAAGTGCGGCACTCGAGCCATGGCGATTGCTATGTGGACGTGAGTTGCAGTGGTGCTCCCAGCAAAAAGATGAAACTGGAGCAGGGCTGGGGTGCTGGGACAGTTCCAAATTGTCGGAACTGTCAATTGTCATGACCGGGATCACCGGGATAGGGCTCCAGAGACTTGCTGACTGGTTTGCGTCGGGAAAATAGGAACTGCAGCTGGGGTGACAAAAGGGTTCCCTGCGGAAACCATTTGAGGAAGCTCACATCTTTCTGATTGAAAATCAACCAAAGGCCCAATCTCTGGCAGCACTATGCAGCACTAGCATTCTGCCATTCCCCTTTGAGATGCTTTGAGTAAGTTTATGTTGCTTCAAGTCGGACTTGCAAAACCGTGGTGTCACTGGGCAGGACACAGAAAATGCCTCTTTTCCATCTCTGGTTGGCGCTGTGGCCTCAGCTGTTCAGGCAGCTTTTGCCGATATGACTCATGACACGTGACTGGAGTCACAGAGTGATAGAATGCACTGTGAATGTCTGCTTTAGCTTCTTGATCTATGCTCTATGTCATCCACCTATGGTTTCAGCATCTTCATCTTCATTTTCATCTTCATCTATCCACATTCATCTATCCACTGACCACCCACAAACCGACAGGCCACGCACCAACTAAGAGACGGACTGATATAGAGACAGACAGCTCGAGGGGCAGTCAGAAGGCATACTGACTTCAATACGAACATTGACAAACTGTAAGAAATAGGTGTCGCAGCAAGAGAGCAACTGTCCGTGCGACAAACTGTTTTTGAGGCCAAAGGACGTCGGGAGGCTGACAGGTGAGCAGCCGTTGCACAAAAGTCACACAGCTCCAGAATTGCAAGTAGAAGTGATGTTGATGATGTACTTCAATCATCCACCCGTGAATCCGCCTGAGAAAGTCTTTTCTAGTAATCCATAGAAATCCTAACAGACCATTTGTCTTAAGCATGTCTCCTTGGCCTCGGCAGCACCATCGTGGAACTCTTGGACCAGCTTGAAGCTTCGTTGGGGTCGCTCAGAAAAATCAACAGACCTTCAGGGAAGGTGATTTCGGTGGTGCGTGCCGCGAGAGATGTCATTGGCAAGCGAAAGAAGGGTACAAAAACCGAAGATGACCATGGTTCATGAGAAATGACCAAACCTCCCTCCACGGAAATTTTTCTTGTTGCTGCAGGGGGAGACTATTCGAAACTGTAACTCTCTGCAAGGGATTTGGAATTACCTCTGATCCTGGACCAGGTGATGATCAAAGGTGTCAAAGGTGCATTCTGCAAATTCCCAAGGCTGCCATGCTGCCATTCTTTTTGTGAGGCTTCGGCGTTTGGCACAGGAGGATCGAGACCGTTTGTACAGACGCTTGGTCCTCAGGGATCAAAGGGATTCACCTGCAAGATGTCCTCAACGCAAGCACAAAAGCAGCCTGAAAGCAGCCTGAATGCCTTTCTGAATGCCTTTGCAGCTTTCTTTGCATATCTTTGCATTTGTCGTTTTTCCTATGTTTTTCTATGTTTTTCTCCCCTCTTTGACTAGGACTTTGAGAGTGACAAGTGGCAAAGAGCGACTACCAAAATGCCCTCAACATTCCTAGCAGATTCCTGTGGCGTTGCTTGTGCAGAGGCATGGATCGAGCTGTGTCCAGCGCCTTTTCGTTGGGACCCGCAGTGGATGAGAGACTCTTATGGGCATAAGCCAGAATGGCCTTGCTGGTGCAACTTCCTGACATCAAACAATATCAAGCGATACGGCTGGCTAGTTTCCAAGTTGGCTTCAGACTCAGGCCCATTGTCTTGGGCCGCATGCTAGCACACCTACCATCAGAAGAGGTGGGACCAGTGTGACATTGGACTACTCTTGCAGCCAGTAGTCTTCTGTTTGTTCGTTGCTTAGCCACCACAGTTTCATCATAGAAAGTCCGCTTGAAGAGTGAAATTGGATAACTTTCCAAGGACAAAAGCAGGCTCAAAAGATGACTACTTGCCACGGCACAGTGGCATATGCAATGCTTTGATAGTTAGTCATCAGTCTGCAAGATTCACAGTCAGAAGCCAATCGTTCAGGTTCATGCCATTGAGCGCTGGGTGGTGGACGAGGGTGTACAGGGCTGAGACCAATGAGATCTGACTTAGACGATTCTAAATCTTAACACACCAAGGAGGCATCTGTGAGACCTGCATGTTGAGATGCATAAGTCCTCGGAAGTATTCTTAAGTCATTACGAATCATATAAGTTTGTGCCTTCGGCACCTTCGGCATCCTTCGGCATCCTTCGACACTGCTGCGCCATCATCAACCTTGAGGCGCTACCCTCCGGAGCTGCTGCCAGACTCTTTGGTGCGCTCGTGGGTGTGCAGAAGGTGCTGTGCGGCGGTGCTGCGGTGAACGCTGTGTTTTGGAGCTGACTTGGCAGACTTGTGGCAGACTTGTGGCAGACTTGTGGCAGACTTGTGGCAGACTTGTGGCAGACTTGTGGCAGACTTGGTGTCCAGCCAGGCTGGTGGCTTCTTACAAGATGTGCGGAGTCATGGAGATAGCAAGTGGGAGGATGTTGGTCCATCTTCAGTTCTCCAGTTTCTCAAGGTGAAAAATCAACGAAAAATGGAAGAGACTCAGCTCAGTCTGCCCAGCAGAAAAGCCGAGGCTGTTGACGATGTCAAAGTGGGTGCAGAAGAGCTTTGGGTTAAGATCTTAGAGATCTCTTTGACTTCTATGATTTTACATAGATTGGTCTGTCCAACTGCATCAATTTCTTGGGTTGACTGAACATATCTGAAAAGTTTGGTGACGTCTAGAGTTGATTTGAAAGCAGATAAAAGTGAAGATCCGATCTCGAGCACGTCTTTGTAGACTTCCAAGCACTTGCTGACTTGCTTTTGCTGAAGAGAGCAAGCTGAGGTCCGTCTCTCTGAAGAGTTTGCCAGTCAGCATGGAAGCACAGGGGTGTACAGATAGTGAAGTAGGGAGCACGGGACTTGTGCACATGACTTTGCAAGAATTCCCTGTCGTCGATTTGACGGCTTGCGATGTTAACGCTAAGGGCCATTTGCTGGTTGGGAGACATGCAAAAAATCTCGACAACATTTTGATACTAGTCTTTTTTTGTGAAAAAGTCACCACAACCCCTGTCCCTATCATCCAGGAGGATTCGTAATTAGGTCCTGCCTTTGTTGCAAATTCCCGTAGCACACATAGCAGAACAGAACAGTCCCACTGGGCGAGGGCGATTTGGTGAGGCCTGAAGAGATCAACGACTCTTGGGCGAATTGGTTGAAAGGAGCGGAACTGAGCTGTTGCGTTTGCTTCTCGGAACAGAATCCTCTTCGATCTCAGATAGAATCCGGTGTAGAGGGATAACTTCACTTTGCAGCGCGAAAGCTTGTTCCAACAGTTTCACATGTTTTCACTGTCCGCACTCCTGCCGCAACTATCATTGAAACCGTTTCCTCTGCGGATCAATCTGCCAGCTGTTCATCAGGCAGACCGCCATCTCCAAGTGCAGCACCAAGCATCGGGGAAAACCGACTGTAACCATCTAGCACAAAGTTACATCCGACTCATATGTCTTGAGTTTGAGGGTATTTGCTGCTTAATTATATGCCTCTCCTGTGTCAGGTACTCAATCAGTTCTCGGAGATTTTGACGAGGACCTGCGAAGCAGAGCAAACTGCAAAAACAAAATTGAGTTTCGTCATTCAAGGGGCCAACCGGGGTCAACCGCACTTGTGCTGTGTTACCTTGCTGAAACTGAAGTCAAAAAAAAACAATTCCAGTGGCTTCTTCCCTTGTCAAGCCAGGATGATGCTGTCTCTGTCATCTCCGAGACTCGTCGTCAGTCAGAAGGGGCACCAAGTCGGCGCTTTCTCCATTTTCAAACCAAATCCAGAGTCTCAACGAGGGAAACTCTATGAAATTCTGCTGTGTTAAAGTCCCCTTTGGCAGTTCCAAAGTCGTTGCCTCCAAGTGACCGGCCAAGGCCCCCGCCAAGGCACTGAGCGTGGCATCCTTGGGTCGGAGGTCCGTGGTTTCTGCCCAGTGGCCGACCCAGTTCCCACCACAGCTGTGAGCATTCAAGATGGCTAAAGACTAAAGATGGTTCAATAGTATTAAAGACACTTCAGTCACCAGATTTTATTTTTTGGAAGAAGACACATTTATACAAGCACAGTCAGCGCCTTCCTCAAGCTTACTCCTAAAGACCTAATAGCTTCATGTCGTTCATGTCAACAAGGCAAGATCGCAACTTCTTCGCAAAGCCTTAAACAGACTTCGCACCTGAGTTGCTGTGGCCAATTTTCCCAGGTTGGGCGGTGGCTACTCTTCAGCCTCAACGGTGTGGTACCGAGCAGACCATTTTCCGTCACCGACACATCTGGTGTTTTAACATCTCCTGGTCGACAATGTCTCCATATGTCTCGATGATCTGAGTATCACATGGTGTGCCATGTTAGCTTCAGAAGCTCTCAAGCATATCGGCACATGATGTCTGAGAGCAGTGAATGCGCCAAATCAATGCTCTTGAACAAGTCGTCTCTTGCCGAACACTTTGGTGCATTGGATGCTTCTGGACGTGCCTCAAAAGTCCCAGGCTCCTCGGAAGCGGCACTCTTGTGGGAAGCTCACTGAAGCCAAGTGGATGCGGCAATTGTCAATAGTCAGAGAGAAGCACAATGGAGTGTCAATATTTTCATTATTGAGATATCTGCAGCGTGCGTGCAACAACATTGTCTTCAGCCTTTTTTGCTGCTTCTGTACCTGACCTGCACGCGGTCAAGCAGCCCAGCATTGAGGTCAATTGCACTGCCCAGCATCGCTCTTCCTCTTCTCAGATAAGTTAGACAAGCCCTCTGCGAGCGCTTTCTTAGGCACGGTATTGGATGGTATTGGCATGAAATTCCTTTAGCAGAAGAACACAGCCAGCTGTCTGAGATTGTTTGAGTTGAGTCTTTCTTGGGCAGTTTGTGGCATGTGGGTTCGTTTGCAGAACATTTTCTTCAAGTTAAACATCCCAGGGCCGCACCAGGGGCTTCGGTATGCGAGCCATTGAAGTGGTGGCCGACCTTCGAGCCCTAAACCAATGGGCCCAGGAGTCTCGCATCGCGTCCGAAGCGGAAGACCCACGCCGTGCGCCGCACTCCGCGCGCAGCACCAACAGCGAGCATTTGGGCAGTGAATTTGGACGTCCAAGTTCCTCGGAACGATCGGAACGAGGATTGTCCAAGAGTCTGCCACTGAGTCAGCTGAGTCAGGAGAGGGCTTCGGTTGCCAGGAGCTCCACCACAACCTCAGACAGGATCTCAGAAGTGTTCAGAGGAGTTCGAAGTTCTTCTAGGTTGGCCGAGTCAGACATTGCTGAACGGAGCAGAGATATCTCCCGTAGCAGCACCAGGAAAAGCACGTTGGAGTTGCCCCGTTCCAGCAATCGGCCTAGCACCTCCCCGACCTCCCCTTCCCGCCCATCGGCGTTGACAGACATGCCTGCATTGCCTGCATCGGATCCCCTTAGTAGCCTTCCTAAGCTCCTGCGCCAGATCTCAGCAGCAACGGACGATTCCCAAGCTCCCAGCGGTCCCAGCGGTTTTGATTTGGCGCTGCAAGATGCGATAAGCTCAACGAGCCGTGCAACGGCCACCTATGCCAACAATCAATTAGTCTTGGTACCTCAAGACTGCGCAGCGCGGCAAACGCCGAAGATGCGCAAACTGTGGCTGGGACTTGTGCTGCATTCTGCTTTGCTGATTGGGTTGCTGTTGTTTTTGAATGGCTTGGACCTTTTTATCCAGTTCAAGATCGTGGCATCGCCAATTTGTTTGCCTTGTCACTTTGCATCTCCGCATACGATTTTGCTGTTTATCACGCAAAACAAGTTAGAGTTGTACATGAGCAATTATATAATAGCAATTGGAAATTCATTTTTGTACAGCCAAAAAGGCCGAACTGATCCCAACTGCAAGTTGTCCTTTCTATCCTGTTGGCATTTTGTGCCGAGGAAAGCAGATCTACTGCGAACTCATCCCTGGTTACAAGAGCTGCAAAGAGCCGCTGAAAGCGGCTTCAGCGGCTCTGTGCCAGGCTCACCGGTGAACCGGTTGCAACCTCCACAGGCTGTTGGGACTGTTGGAACTATTGGGATTGCACATGTGGAGCATGTGGAGCTTGGAGAGAATGATGAACCTTTTCAGTATCTGCTATCAGCACAAGAAAGATCAATAAAGTAGTGGCCAAGAAAGTAAACTATGACCTCTTGTGATCATGAGCTTGGTGCGCTTTGACCACATCATTGTTTTTGCACAGCAGAGGTGGTTAATGTATGTAAATGTATGTAAATGTGTCGTGAGAGATGATTTTCAGGATGCAAAAAGGGAGCAACTACAGTAGAAATTACGCTACGACGTACGCTACGACGTACGGTACGACGGTCAAAAGGTCCATCCCGAAACGAAAGGCCGCTTCGATGCCAAGCTTGCCGCCACTGGATTTCCAGCGCTGACAACGGAGGTTTCTATGGCTTGGTCCGTTGGTCCGGCGTGGAATTAGGATGGGATCCGTGGGATCGATGGGATCCGTGGGATCCGTGGGATCCGTGGGATCCGTGGGAGCCAGGAGGGACAAAAGAATCAAAAGATCCTGAGTTCACCAGTGGTACGGTAGATGTCTAAGCAGTGATGCAAGTGATGTAAGTGATGCAAGACTTATCAAAACTAATTGCGAGTTCCTTTACTAAGATTTTACTGTATTTGTTCTTTGTGGGGTAAAACAACGAAAATCAACCGATGTTCAAGCTCGACTTTGAGTTGCCACTTGTGCCTCTGAGGTTTGTAGTGAAGCATACTCCACGCTGCTGAAAGCGCGTGCTGTATCTTAACAGACTGCGACATGCACGACATGCGTTCGAGTAGCTTAGATAGCTCCTCCTGCATAGTCTACCGTAGAATGCACACTTTCTGGCTTGGTCTTAGCCTTGTACAGAGGCAGCACACAAAAAATTGGGCTGCAAAGCTCCCCTGCAGCGGAGATGCAATACTTCCCTACCCTACATCCCTTGGCCACTGCAATAACTGGTACAGTTCTAGTAGCTATTGTCACATTTGTTTGGTCCTTTAGTCGTGACTTTGAGGTGAAGCGCGTCGACCATCACAGCAGCACATTGACTTTGCAGCTGGGCGTAATTTCGCAGAGAGGTTGACTCATTTGCTTTCTGGCATAGGAACCATAGTATCTATACGATCTATAATGGTTGCAGTTTTATTATTGGTATGGTGAGTAGCTGGCGGCTAACCATCTGCCTCTATGCGCACCAGCCCTGAGGTAATGGTGGACGTGAAGAGACCATCCATTGACAAGACGCAGATCGAGTTTGATGGACCCAGTGAACCCGTTGAGGCAGGTGACCTTCCAAGCTGTTTCGCCCAAGATCAAGAGAACATGTTGGCTGATGTACAGGGTGGTCAAGCTGACAATCTACCTGTTTTGCCAACCTTTCATGGTGATGGTGAAGTCACTGACAAGGCGCAGGCCTGCAGGGAGGGCGGTGTACTGAGTTTTGGAGGGGTTATTTCAACACAGTCCACACTGGACCTTGATAGGTTTGACTTTGCACCAATATAGTTGGTGAGACTAATTGGATAGCTTTGGGGTGATTGCATTCAAGTTCAAGCCAGGGCAATCGTGGGGAAGTATATTTGGTTCGTGGCTTTGCTGTAGTGTAGGTGGTGACCTTGTTTTGCCATGGCAAATAAAGTAAGCAGAGGACAGTTTCATGCAGAAAGATGCCAAAGCCAAGATGTTTTCAGGATGTGTCAGGACGACATGTAGAGAGGCAGAGGATCTTGAGGATGACAAGATGGTGCAAGGGGTGACGAGCGGCTAGCATCTATGCTCTGCCTGTGAGGCGGAGAGCAAAGAGACTTCAGAGGAGGACCGAGATTGTCCACTTGTCGACTGGGTACTGCTTTGTAGCGATTGAAACTCATGGAGCAGCCGCGCTCTATGCCCAGCAGTTCAGACTTTTTTTGTTCATCCCAAGGCTGTTTTTTTTCTCTTCTTTCTTACCAAAAAAAACGCAGGACCTTGTGGGACCAACAGCACCTGACTTTGAAGCCAGATGAGCCGAAACCTTAGGAATCCTTTCATGGGAGATTGGGGCGGTCAGGGGCACAGTCCCTTGAGCCCAGTGTACGTTGGGACATCCACCCTGAGGTGACTATCGCTCGCGGCTCTGAGTGGCATGACACCAATGGTGTGTCGTTGGGAGGGCTCATTCCCCCAAGGATCTTGAGAGGCACCCAAGAGGGAATCAACCCTGACTGTAAGTGAGTAGATCCTTTTTGATTGTAGAAAGAATACAGTTTTTTCATGTTTTTTCTCTATGGAAGAGTGTGGTCTCCTTTAGCCATGGCCTTTCTCTTGAGTCTTATGGGCAATCAATTTGCGTCCAAAATTTGTGCCGAGCCACGGATGTCCACTGTTTACTTCACCCATCCTAAACTATTTCAAGAACACTATCGCCGTTTGCTCCTCTAGGTGGTCTTCAGTTGTGAACGGATAAATCGCATTTCCCGTATTTCTATAGTCTATATATTTTATATAATAATATATGTACATAATATAACTATACATTATTATACATTTATTTGAAAGTTCTTGTGAACTTGGGAACCTTACCTGGCAAACCCACTCATACTAAGAACAGCTATCCGGGTGAAAAGAGAATGAGACCTAAGCAACTAGCTTGAGACTGCGAAACTGCTGCATGAAGCGAACTGGCAATTGCCAGCTCTGCGCTCGTGCAGACTCCGCTGTATGTTAACGTTTAGCTAAGGGGCCATGGAGATATGCCGTGAACATTTGTGAACAAACGAAACGCATGGCCCTAAGAAATGAATCGGCTTTCTGTGAGATTCAGCGCAGCCCCTACCGTGGCTCTTGTGTAGCGCCTTTCTGGCAGTGTTTTCAAAAAGCTTCCCCAAGGGTCACTCACAGCTTCAGATTCCTCTACAGCATTTTTCTCCCAATCCCAGATGTATGATTTCACAGTTGAGAAGGTATGTGAGACACTGAAAACTCTCCTGACAAGCGGATGTTTACTTGGTTATAGCCGGAATTTATCTTGCGATATAGAGGCTTTCCAGGAATCACAAGCTGTTGGTGCTGGACCCATTTAGCATTCTGCAAATCGCTCAGCGAGGAAAACGAAGGTGACGAGAAGAGATGCAGCCAGTATTTGAGATTCGAAAGGCTTCACCCGTACAATTGAAGGAAGCAACATACTCCTCTCCCTGGTATGAATGGATGGCAAGAGGAAATTGAAACAATGAAGCATAATACTTCACTTCTCATGCCTTGGCATAGTCATTGAGTTCTCGGAGTGCCTGTGCCTGATGCTCTTCAGTGGGCATACTGGTATCTTTATCCCTGAGCTTCGGCCGAAGTTTCGCGATTTCTTGTGTCCGACCTGTCCACCGCAGCTGTACATCCAAATATTAGAATCATGGCATTGAATCTAAATGATGAGGAGGTCGGGAGTCTGGTCTGAGTAGCATGGTGGTGCTTTTCCTTGATTTTTGACAGCTGTTTGGACGCTGCTGCCAGTGAGCAAGGTTCCTTTCTTCCTTTTCCCAGCAACGTACAACTCTTGGTCGATATGCAACATAGATAACGTATGATATAAGCGCTTCAGGGTAGAGATATGAATCAAGTGAGCACTTTGAAACTAAACCGCCCAGAGTGCATCTAAATGGTGTTTGCACCATTCCGGATTCAGTTGGCAGGTTGCTGAAAGCAGAGCAACCTCCATGTCAGCCTTCTCAGTTCGGAACCAGATTCAGCATTTGCCCGAAAGATTATTAGAAGATCATTGAACAGATTTACATTTAGTTGTTTGCATTTTAACACTGAAGAACATGATGGAAATGGAACATGTTCCCATTTTTGATGGACTTGAACTCAATACATATATATGAGTTTTCTCATGGAACATGATAAAGCGTTATTTGTAAGGCAGGTTTGAAGAGTGAATGTTCATGAACGTGCTGATCACTACATCATTTCGTCCCCGTTGTTTTAGCTTCAAGTGAAGCAAATCAGAGCAAGTGCTCTGATGGTCATGTGTCCATGTTCACGAACATAACATGTCACAGACACTTGACCTTGTTTATGTGTTTTCACTTTCAATTGTTTTGGAGTCAATACTCATATAACAAAACAATTACACAGTTTTGAATTTTCGTATGGGGTAACAGAAAGATATATAAACCTGATCCAGCAATGCACGGCAGGGAGTGATATGTTGATCGACCTGGTGCAAGACGGCTCCAACCCCGAGCTTACTCGCTCGGTCCAGCTGATCGTCGAAATGTACCCAGCCACTGATCTCGTGGACATCTTCGGCAGAGTCTTTGACCAGGTCCAAAGGCAGGAGGAGCGATTGCGCAACCAACTCGGCACTGTCATGGAGTACCTCGCAGCTCGCGATCCTCATGCAGCACGCACCTTCGGGCTCTTGCTGCGAGACAACGAAGATTGAGGAGCTGCTTGCCTGACCTTGGCCGTGTTGGACCTCTGCCTGCTGCCGATCAACATCAATCTTTTTCAAGTCGACTTTTGGGCACGAGCCTGTCGACCAGCATTGACAGTGATATGCTGCTAAAATTGCTCCTTATGGGGGTTGTTCGCAGCAATTTTCACATGGATGAATTTATCTCTTCTGGTTTGCTCTCGACTTGATGTTTTTCTTTTTGAACTTAATCACTGAGTCAAATGACCGGCAACATGACAGTGACAAGCTTCACAATCATCACCACGGTGATCACTGATTTTCCCACTGGAGTGTGGCTCAAGTGAGCCCAGCCGCCGCCATTTTGGGGGGGGGCGCGAGGATCGAGTGATCCAACCCCAGTGAGGCCCTCATGTGTTTTGATACGAAGCATTCACATTCCGGACAAGTGTCCAATGAGTGCAGCATTTCACATGAGCTCTCTTTGGCCCTCAGCTGGCATCACGTCCAGGTTCCTGAGAGCCGCATGAGTTCGGCACTGAGTCAGCAGTTCAAGTGACACTGACTGACACCTGTCGAGTGACAGTTGCTGCATCCAAGTGGATTGCCCAGGCCGGAAGGATTGGCTCCAAGTTCGATGATTGGTTAGGGCCTCAGCTCGAGTGAGCTTTCGAGTGACACCCAAATGTTGGCAAACCTGATGGTTTCCCCAAGTGGGGCATACGACCCCCTGTGTGGGGGGGGCCTGCTGGGCGTGTGGTCTCAGGATCTGCCTGTCCTGAGCATTGAGTGATGTGCCCGATCTCAGTTAGGGACGTGTGTTGCTGTTCACCTTGCTTGTGCTTGGCCATGAGTGTTAATATGATTAATCCTTCGTTCACATCTTTAGATGTTTTGGCCAGGTCATCTGACGAAGCGAAGAGGGGCCCGAGTCGCCCTGAGCTTCATGCCAGGCTCAAGAGAGCCAAGTTCCGTGATGATGGAGAGGACTCCAT